ATCACTGTATCACACGCTCCCAATTACACACACGTCCGGATCTTCTTTCCGCGACGGCTGCTATACTCCAACTTGTAGTCGGCTGGCTGGAGAACTGTTGATATCGCACTCGCTCGTTGACTACTTAACTCAGCGATGTCCACATTAGAACTCGGAAATGTCTTCGGCGGTAGCCACACTGGAACTCGATCTCGAACTCGAACTCGAACTGATCGATACGCACTGTGCATCCACTTATATAGCTGCAGTGCTTGCCTGTGGCGTAATGAGTGCCACGTCANAAAGAAAAATAATGGCATTTCTTAATCCAGACAAAATTCTTAGTTGCGCTTCTCTACATAATCATAACATTTTAATACACATGTAATGGCCAGTCATGAATGCAGACTGTTTGTTCTGTAGAGAACACCATTAAGTGACTGGTTTCATGCACCAGTGATGTGTTTGTTGCTCCTGCATTTTAATGCTGTTAATATAATGGCTCACTCCTATAAAGCACTCTGTGTTATATAAGAATATATCGTGTTTTGGTGTGCTGTAGAACATACTGACTGGAACATTGAGGAAAGAATTGTTGGGGGTTCTGTAATATGTGGGTTATCTTCTGTTATTGTCATTAAATCACTGACATGAGTTTGAAGTACTGAATACTTATAGAACATAACAAAGTTGTTTTCCTGTTACCATATTATAATAAATTTCGACCACTAGTTTGACTTAGGTGGTGAGTTACCTATATTAAATTCGTAGAGATGTTGCATCACAAGTTACAAGTTATAACTGTACTGATTGAATCAGGCCTTGTGCTGCATTGTAAATTGATTTTTAGCAATTGTTTTTGTTTCAGTTTACTACAAGTTTCATTGTTTTGATGTTATTTGAAACTGGACATGGATAACGTTTATCACGGAAATGGAGTTGGAGATTTTATAATTTATCATTATTTTAATGTCGTGAAATTGCTTATGTGCTTTTAATTGTGACAGCATCTTCAGTGGCTTCCAGAGGGATGCACAATCCCTGCGACAGTGGTTGTTTAGCTTCATTCCTTCATCTGTTGAAGAGCTCACACCTGATAGTTTTGAACACAAGGTGTTGAATACTGATGAACCATGGCTTGTTGATTTCTATGCTCCATGGTGTGGACATTGTGTTGTGTTTGCTCCAGAGTTCCAGATTATTGCACAGGTACGGTGACATAGCTGAGTGATAAAATAGTTGTTAAGCATGTTTTTATAGTGGCATGTCTATTGAGACTTTGTTTTCTGAAGGTATTTGGTTTGAGTATTTTCCCAGTTATTGGGTATGCTAACCAAGAGTTTGTGTAGTTTCCTCAGCTCATCCAGGTGAATATCAGGGCAGCATAAATATCTTCAAGTAGACTGTGATAACCCTTTTTGTGAACCATTTCAGAGTGAGAGTTACTTTACGGTTGGTAATTTGCCTCCAGTCATTTTGTCTTGCCGCCATGCCTGTTGTGGCTCATGACCAGAAATTTTTTTTCAAGGGGAAGGGGGGAAAGTGATTGAACCTTGATGGTCATAGTCCTTGTGAAACATCCTGTGTCACAAGATTATGTGTTCTCATAGAAAACACATAGAAAATGCTCTGTTTTGCACTGTAATGGAGGGGATAAGGAGCACTGATAATTAAAAACAAAATATAATTGCAGAATCTGGAATTCCCACTATTCATGCTGCATTCAATCCTGAAAATCACTTATTATTCAGTGGTTGTGCTACTGGTCACTAAACAGACAAATAATCTTTGCAGCAGACAAAATCAGCCTTTCCTCAATGGCAGTACACCAAAAGGAAAAGCAGTAAAATAATAAAGCATGATGTTGCAACAGGGTTAGAAGATACAAAATTTCCTGCAAATCATCAAGCGTCACTGATATATATCACTGAAACACGTGTAATGAGGAACATTTAAATCATTATGGGGAACTATTAATCAATTTCCAAGGGGTTCTAAAATGGCTGGAGTTAATCTTCACGCAAATAATCGAGTGTCTACTGTATTTTTTGGGCTATTCCTTCTTAAATATTCTACTAAAGATATTTGAAAGAAAATAAATTGACAAATTCTGTAGTGTTACTTAGTTATTTTCAGTATAATTAATACAGCTTTCATAAATGGCAGTGTGATTATTGCCACACTAGTGTATTTCATTCATACGTTTCAATATTAATACAGCATGTTTTGGCCTTGCATGGCCACCCTTAAGTATATGAGGACAGACAGCAAAGTTCGCGAACTCGCCACCATGTGCTTGCCGTGGCACAGGGCAGAAACCTCAGTATGGTTTGATGACAGTGGCATATCAGGGTTGCACAGCTGTGTTGGTCTTTTATCTATGGCAGTCTCTTTCTGAGTGATGTCTATTACTGTCTGAGTGTGTTTTGGTGTGCTGTCACGAAAATGTTGGAGCTTGAATTAGTTGTTAAGCTTGGCAAGAGTGGAAGCGAAATCAGAGAGATGTTAGTGCAAGTTTATGGGGATAATGCTATGAAGAAAACGGCAGTTTAAAAATGGGTGACACGTTTTTCTGAGGGATGAGAAAGTGTCACGAAGGTGGTCGAACAGCCAGCAACAAGCAGAACTGAAGAAAGCATTGCAAAAGTTGGTCAGATTATGCGTGAAAATCGTCGGCTGACTGTCAGGAGCATAGCAGAGCAAGCAAACATCAACAGAGAAACAGAAAGATCTTGACATGAGGAAGGTGTATGCAAGAATGGTCCCAAAGGAGTGCACAGAAGAACAAAAGCAAAGAAGAGTAAAAATTTGCCAAGACCATTTGGAAAGGCAAAATGACATTTTGGGCCATGTCACCACAATTGAAGAAACATGGGTCTACCAATACAACCCTGAAACGAAGTGGCAGAGTGCACAATGGAAGACTACCAATTCTGCACAACAAAAAAGTTCCATCAGCTCTGGAGGCCATTCCACAAAACCAGTTCAAAAATGGTTTTGAAGGGTGGACTAGGTGCTGGCATCAGTGCATAGCTTCCCAAGGGGAGTAATTTGAAGGTGACCACAGTGATATTCAACGATGAGTTATGTCGCACTTTTACCGCGATGAGTTCGTGAACTTTATTGTCAGACCACATATCATGTGTTACAAATTTTTTCACTGTATCAACCCCCTATACTCAGGTCTCTGTTTGAGGGTCCTTGTGAAGGGCCCCTATTTGAAGCTAAAATGTTGGTATTCAATGGGCACCAGCCAATGATGGATCAACTCTTTAAGTGCCAAATATGGATAAACTCCATACCATTCAGGCACTAGCAGGGTGCACATATAGACAGGGATTCTAAACATAACTTTGTCATATTCAGGGATGCTGAAAACGTGTAGATCCATCAAAATCTCATAATTTATTGTTATCACCATCACAGTACTTTCTCATGCTACAAATACTTCATAAGGGATAGTGGTCCTGGCATTGTGTTCCCATTTATACTCGTATTATTACAGTCGGGAAGATGTACACTTCCTGTATGGAAGTATCTTGTATTTATCATTATTGTCTGAATACTGCCTATAGTATACAGTTTGATAATTACTGATGCAGAATATTTGTTCATGTGAGATTCCACTTGGATCATCCGTCCACTGAGCTCTCCAATGAAAGGATGGACTCCACTAGAATTCTGACTGTTGTGGTCTTTACCAAATTCAGTTTCAGCTCCCACTGCAAGATTGTACTCATATGTTGCTACTGTGTCTTCATGAAGCTCACTTTCACAGTCAAATCATATTGCTTCATTAGAGTTTCTGTCCATAATTAGCTCTTCAAGATTTGTGCCATTATGAGAATGTTTTGTGTTGAAAATAATATCATCTGCGTATATGTATGACCATGCATACTCATACATGCAGGCACGATGGGAATATATGAGTATGTCATAATTGATGAGGGATTGCTTTACTTCATAGTGGAATTCATCTTAGTAACATATCATGAAAAACTGGGCTTTGACATGTTCTGTATCTGGAGGCGCCATCACCAAATGTAGATCTGATGAACAAAAATGAATTGAATTGAAAAAAAAATAATGAAAAACTGTATTATATTAATGAGATTTTGTTGGATGTTACAGAAACTAGAGGGAAGGGTACTTGCAGGTAAAGTGAACTGTAACACATTCCAATACTTGTGCCATGAAGCCGGCATATCCAGTTACCCTACTGTGATGCTGTACTATGGTGATAATCGACAGTACCAGGGAGATGAGATTCCAAGTCAGTCAGCAAATCACATTATTGCCCACACAGAGCGTGTATTATCACAGCACCAGCAGAAGCACCAGCAATCTCAGCTACTCCATGATGAATTTTAAGTATATCAATTCATTCTGTGATAATGTGTTTGTAAATATCATGTGATATCACCCTCTACAGATGACTCTAACAGGGTGTGAAATTTAAAGTAGGTTTGCTGCTTACCGTTGCTATATGGTTTTCTTACTATCCATGCAGGCAGGCAGGAGGAAGACCTTACCATTTATTATTACTCAAATATTAATAGTTTCTAATAACTATTAACCACTCACTTAACTAGCCAGTGAAGTGATGTCTAGCTTCACAATCCAAGGTTTACCCATCTCTCATTTTGCTGGTACAGCACTATTTGATCAAGATGAGAGTGTTCACAATTGAAACAATTTATACAGGCCCTCATGTACGTGGGGAATACAGTTTGTGATTTGGAGTTTAATCTCTGTATTCCTCACATAATAATATTTGAAAAAAGTTATGTTGTGATGAAATTAGCTAAGAGCAAGATACTTCATGAGGGGAGGCAAAATCTATGTGAATTGAATAGATGGAATGCATATCTTCAGAACAAAATAGATGTTATATTCTAAATTATAAAATGTAAAATTACGGTCCAACTTATTGTGATGAAATTTATGCAGATTAGAATAATTTCCATGCAGTAATATCATTTGGGAAGAAAAATGAATTTCAAATAAATATGTTTCAGTATTTCAAATGATATTCAGTAATTAATATAAAAGTGTTAATTAATGTATAAAAGGTCCATGGCTCAAGTAAACTCGACCATGGGATGTTGCAGGATTTGTTGCAACATATTAATTCAGGTATGAGACAGCAGATAGACTCTTGTCCTTCAAGTATATTCAGATGTGGAAGTTAAAGGGTTAAAGTATGTTGGTGTCAGGAGAAATGTGAGGCAACAGGACATTAAAATGATAATCAAGGAAACAGAAAAATTGTAACTTATGTAACATATTTGTTCTTTCTTTTATTTGTCAACAGCAGTCACTGCACCACACATCATGGTCACATGGTTAGCATTCCTGTATTTCATTTGGTAGGCATTAACTATTATGTCAACTGTTTGTTCTTTTTTAACAATGGCCATCAAATGCTAATGGGAATGTTGTGAATACAAAGTGTGTATAACTGTGACAAGTTCATAACTTCATCAGTGTTGGTGTACATATCAAGTGTATTCTTATTTCAGTATCCACCCTAGTGCCCCATTAATTCTCACAACTCCTTCTTGTAGCTAGTTCTCAATGCTGTTGCCTCTACCTTCAATTCTGCCATGGAGATGGAAGGTGCAGGTCCCTTTGAAATATTTGTGACCACCTACAGGACCACAATCTAAATTCCCAGTTCCATGGAAACCTCAATGCTTTTATATCTTTCCTTTCCATGAGACACTGAAGTAAACAAGCATGTTAAGATATTCGGGATGAGGATACATGTATCTAACTTTCTCTGTAATGCATACCATATTCCAGCAACTAAAATATTTCAGAGCTTTAAAACACAACCTTTTGTAATATGGAGCTTTATTAGTTTTGCATATGTCAAAACCCAACTTCCACATCCATTCAGAAGTGGTAAGACAGTCATTAATTGCAATATTATATTTAAGCATCCTGTTGCATTTATATATCTTTCATGCACAATAATTCAGTCCTCGGTGCAACTATTTTCACTTTTATTTCTCCTCCTTGCAACATGTTTCGGCCTCAAATGGCCATCATCAGGTGTTTTGTCTACGCCAAAACTGTCGTACTGCTCAAAATATATAAGATGTTCACTTATTTATAAAATTGCATATGTGATGTTTGTTATTTAATTTACTTGATGTACACTCGATATTTATTTGCATTGATTAGTTTCACTCACTTTCAAATTTAATTTTGGCTTGAAATTTCTTAAAATTTCATAAAATATATAATTCTTGCACCTCTTGTTTGTTACATTAGCAGAACTCAAAGTTATTCACAATGACCTGAGGCTGTGAGAATTGAGATTGCTTCTTGCTGGTTTCTTACTTAGCTTCTGCATCAGCACTGAATATGGAAGCAATGTGTTCCTCAGAAATGTTGGTGGATTTTACCAGCACATTCTAGAAGACAGTACTATTCAATAAAGAATTATGTCATGTATATACAGGATCACTTGGCCATGTTCTAGTCCATCTTTCATCTTTGTAATGGAATAAAGTGTGATGTTTGTCCAGGCACAGATGTACCCAAAGTATCACTTGGTACTTCAAATACTCATGTCTGCTCTCATGCCTCTTGTTATTGCTTTCGGTGTGTGGAAAGAAACTGCACATTCCATTATTGGTCTTTCCTTGGATGTAGCAGGAGTATAGGAGACAGGAAATGCCACTTGGTCAGTCAAGGGTGATGAATGAAATGGTGACCATCATGTGTGACATAAACTGATGTCTCCAATGAACTGCTGCACCATCTGTTACATACATATGACAATTTTGTAATTGGATCTTTCAGCCTGTTCATGATGGTGAAATCTGATGTTCACCTGATTTTCTATCCTGATGAGATTTGATTTACATGGTCACAGAACAGCAGACACTGGTATCCACAAAATCCAAGACTAATACACAGGGTTTCATTATGTGATTCTAAAACTGGCCTATGATGCAGTATGAGTACAGATACAACAATTTAATCAGATTTCTTCAAGGAAAAAAATTAATTCAGAAAGGTACATGGAGGAGATAATCTGCACAATTTTTGAGTGGCTAACAGATGAATGTTGGGATATATTAATATAAGAAATGGTCATAATATACAAAGCAACAGATTTATGGTTTTATTTATGCTTGAGTAATATGTATATATTACCAGACTTAAAAATATTGTCACATTATTTTGAATTTTTACTGTTTGATTTTCAATGTAATCACTTCATTATAATATATGCAGGAAGAGAAAAGAAATGTATGTACAGTCTACAGTGAAAAAGATATTGCTGAAATTGAATAAAGATTTTGTAAAATTACGTCTTGCTTTGGTAGGCAGTCGTCAGATCATCTGAGGTACAAGAATAATAATACTGGCAAGTATATTTGTATCAAGTGTACATTTTCAATACAATAGTGTCAGTTCTATAAAAAACAATTCTTATAGGCCCAAGAATTTTCAGCATGCAGGTTCACACTTTAAGGATGTGCTGTAACAATACCGATGATGTTCCATCAAGGAACTGCCATATTTCAATTTAGTCATAAAAATGACAATCACTTTTCTCCATAGTAACTGTAGTCTGAAGCTGCCAGAGTTAGATAATCCATGATGCTTAAATTATGAGTATACATTGCCATATGCCATAAATACATAAAGAGTTCGTCCTCATGCACTGTCAACACATAAAACTTTATACAGAATACTGTTACAAGTTTATTTTATTTCAGATGTTTTGTGTCTGTAGAATTGTTACAGAATGTGAAACTTGGATAGAAAAATAAACACTTTATCAACCTTTCTTTCAGACCATACTGCGACCTTCTATTTGTTATATATGGCCTGCAGACTTTATCATGTTGTAAAGACCCGAGAAGTTAGGCTTGTGGCAAAGTTGACAGGAACCTACCAAGCAAATTGTCTCATGTAGTAACACTTCTGTCCTGCATTGAGGAGGTGCTCAGTATAAATCTCAGCTTAGGCACCAGCTGTTTTGGTTAGGGTCTTCATGGTTTTCCCCAGTCCCTCTAGGTAGATTCTGGGATAGTACTGCAAATTGGCCATAACTACTTTCTTTCACATCTTTTCTAATTCATCATTCACCAATCATATTATTTGATGCTGTACTACTGACTTCATTAAATAAACTATTTGAAACTTTGTGGCAGGAAATTCGTGGGGGTGGGATCCATCCAGTTGCTCCATGAAAATCATGGTATTTCATTTAAAAGTCACATTTTTTTTAGTTTTAGAGTTTTTAACTATTTTATTTAGGAATCGGTAACAAATTTCACTCGTGCAAGAACGTTAATGTTGCTGACTTTTTTTGTAATGACGTCAAATATGTGGAAGAAAACAGTTACAGAATACTTTGAGGTACTTGACATTTGCATGGAGGGACTGAGCCAAACCATGAAAACTCTCAGAATAGCCAGTCTCTGGGATGAGATCTGAAATCAAAATATGGAAATTAAAAAGCAGGATGGTCTCTAGTGGCATGATGCTCATACAAAGTTTCATGAAAATCTGTCGGGTGGTTCAGAAGTTACAAAGGGCAGCAGACACACATGTATGATAGGCCATAAGACTGTATTTTCATATAGAATAAGAATGTAACTTCCTACTGATGTCAAAAACCAATTTACACAAAAATGGACTTAACTAATTTTTTCATGTATACAGGTGGCTTTTATCTCCAGTTTCAGATTCTGCAGAAGAGGAGAACAGTGTTGTCGTGTTGATTTCCTAGACTTGCAGGTCACAGCCAGTGTTTGTAGCAGTCTTGCAGACACCCAAGTGTCTTCCCTCTGACACTTCAGTTAACTGGATTTATACTGTGCCACATGACACAGAGACTTCATAAGCTCTGCTATGCTCTCAGATCCTGGTGATTCATCTAATTTACTGAAAAGAGATGCTTTGTGTTTGAAGTATGCTTCAAATCTTACTTCACCATATTCCTGAAACAGGAGAGTTTGTTATGATGTATGTTTCCTTCATTGCTTCAACAGTTCCTTTGCAAATTGTTTGGCAGATTTGCAGTAATATGATATGCGACTATTAATAACCAGAACAATTCTGTAAAAAGAACTCTCTTGGACACTAGTCCTTTGTGTGTGCGCTCACTTTGAACAACACACTTCCCAATTGATTCCATATAAAAGCTATCTTGTCACCAACTTTCATGACTATAGTCACTTTTTAATTTTGTGCATGATTGCAACATCTCTGCCTCATGTCACTCAGTGCACCAATAAGGATGAAGCACATCACACTGACTGACATACATGTATCAGTGAATTACAGTCACTCTGAAGAATGCCATCTTCTGGGATGTGGCGTCTCCATCTTCAGGGAGGCAATACGTTCCTCCAAAACATCAGTTTTACACAAGATCTTCACAGCGCCGCATCCCAGATGGTATTCTTCATAGTCACTGCTGTGAAAACATCAAATTTTATACAGTCACTATGCATGCTGACCCTGATGATAGAGACGGTACATGTAAGTTATATAGTAGCATATAACTGTGTACATTATGTATCATCTAATAACAATGATAATGAATAGTGAGTCAGCTGGGATGTGGAAGGAAATGGTGTTGGACTCTATGGGCCATAAAATAAAAGCTTCTGACAGTTGGCTGGTGAAAATATGAACTGGGTACCTTCACATTAAGACTAAAGCAGTGCTCCTCTTTAAAAAAACGAACTCCATGGCTTCAGTCCACAAGCGACCGAGCGAGCGACCGACGCTTTGTCGGCGAAGTTAGTGCCAACTTTAGCGGATGGAGGGTGTCGCGTAGTCAACGCAACGAATTCCCACGGCCGTTAATTTCGGTTTTCTAGACCCCTCTTTAGACAGGGGAAGTCACATAAAATTCTAACAAACAAAATACTATAACTGCATACATATATCCTTACAGTAACTGCCAGAAAGTCATCAAATTTTGTCTCATATCATTAATCACTGAAAGAGAAGGCACATCCTCAATCTACTGAATCCTATACATCTTGAGGTGCACTGCTCTAGGAAGACTGACTATATGAGGGATATTCGGAAAGTCCAGGGAATTTTCTTCTCAAATATGGCAGTGCTGCCGGGTGAGATGGGAACCGTATGACAATGCAGTTCACCGGCCACAGTCTGGGCAACGTTGTGTTCGAAGTTGTTTCAAAATCCCACCAAATGTAAGGTTAGTACAATAATTCGATTTCTTCACGCAAAAGGAGAAATTGCTGCTGAAATTCATCGCCAACTTGTTTCTGTTATTGCGAAGATGTTATGAACAGGCAAAAGGTGGCAAAATGGTGTGAATTTGAAGTGGGAAGAAGTGATGTTCATGATGAAATAAGGAGTTGTCACTGATGAAATCACCCCCAAAATTTATGAAAATTCGTGCTGACAGACCCGGGGATTCTTGCAGAAATTTTTTAAAAATTTTAAATATGCTACCTCTAGCATCCCTGTACATACTCTCCTTGGCTCTGTTTGTGGTTAGTAATAAATCACTGTTTATACAAAATTTTTAAATTCATAATTTTAATACCAGGAATAATTTTTTTCAAGTAACGACTCACTTGATGTTTCATAAAAGTGCCGCCTATGCAGGCGTTAAGATATATGACCATCTTCCAGCTGACATTAAGGACTTGGCATGTGATATTAAAAGCTTTAAAAAAAGCATTACAAATTATTTACATGAGCATTCTTTTTATGCTGTGGATGATTTTTTATGCGTTAAACTAGATAAGTATTTCTGATGGCAATAGTAACATCATTGTATCAATATTTACAGTGTTCTATTATTTTTTTTTTTTCGATAAAATCTTTTAATGATTGCATGTCTCATAATTATTAATATTGTACTGTCTTGTATTCGTTTTTTTACTTTTCTATATAAATTGGTTGTACCAGTATGGATCAACAGAAATAAAAAAATAAATTAAATTAAATTAAATTGTAACTTACGACAGGATAGACAGCTAGTGTCTTGTTGAAATTAATGATTAACATCATGGTCAAACATCTTGTTTGTCAGTGTGCTAATATGTTAAGCAATTGATCTCATGCTTTGGGCATAGTATAAGAAATTTCCAAAGCCCTTCAGAGTTTTAGCATGAGTGCCATTCTGTTAATGGAAGGTTAGTTCAATCAAGCCCAGTGCATTACAAAACCTGTGAAATCTGGAGCCAGTAGTATACTGTAGGCCCTAGTTGGGTGCATTCTGAAAATTTGCAGAAGGGGCATTAGATTGTTATGAGATATATTTGATTTGTTTCATTCTGGTCCGTCACACTAACAGTATTATAAAAAGTTAAACAGTTTCGTCCAGTGTGACTGGTCACACTGGACAGAACTGTTTAATTTTTATAATGAGATATATTTAATTTAAATTCATAAACTATTTCCAGTCACTTTTTGGTACTCAGCATTTCTTGACATCTTTTCCTGGATGGTAAGTGACTTCAGTTCTCCATATTCTTTTTGTGGCATTTTTCTTTACTTTGAATCAGAATTTAAGTAACTGATATCAATAACTATCAGAGAACTAAGTCATGTAGATTGTTGGATGAAAAAACCACAAAGCATCCAACAGTTAATTCTAATTCACATCACACACCACTGGATAAGTAGTGTTTTGGCTTCATAGTGTATCTAAACAGGTGAAGAAATGCTTATGTGCAATCTATGGTAACTATAAATACAGTGATTTGTGGCAACTTTCAAGCACCTTGTATCTATTAATAATATGTAAGGGAAATATCTACCCCTTCCAGAACCTGTTAATATTACCTAACTGCCACCAACTGTCATAAACCTTCACCTCTCATTTGTTGTAGTACTGGGAGCTACCAACAACCCATAAATACACGCTAAAGGAGACTGCCTTTCTAACTGATGCAGCCTGGCAACCAGTTAAGAACCCTGAGGCTTGAACGTCCAGCAAGAGTAAGGTAAGAAGAGATGGACAGGAAATAAAAGTCTATGAATTGGAGGACCAGTTGTGGTGTTGATATATGTTTCCTCAACTTTACAGCCTTTTGTAATATTTACTTGTTGGTAGCATATAAATCCTGTTTTTTTTTAAAAAGCTTTTCCTTGTTAAAATTCAGTGAAACAGCTTAGATGCAAGCAGAAGAGTTCTCACATAGTATTACTTGACTTTTACTATAACATTTAAAATGTTTAAGGTAAGTGTATTCGAGTATAAGTGACTCACTATGCAGACAGGTGTACTGCCATATATTGTCTTTGACTCTGTATGGAATACTGTTGGAAGAAATGAAGTTGGTCAGATATTATGAGAAACTGAGTGGAAACAGATGATTGTGATAATGATGATGACAACACACAATTGTGATGGGAGGAGAAAGACATTTAGTTTGTTTAATGATACTATCAGTTACTCAGTCTGTAGCATCAGATCATCTGAAGATTGTGCATTATGAAGTGGAGAGGCAGTGGATATGGCCTAATTTTAAGGTGCTATCCTGGCATTTGCCTGAAGGATCTGAGGAAAACCATGAAGCCCTCAATCTCAGCCAAGATTCAAACCAGGAACTTCCTGAATACAAGTCAGAATTGTTAGCATTTGATGCAACTTGCAAGAAAGGCACAATAAGCAACTGCTTAAGGTGACAAAATTAATAGTGTAAGGATGTCAGTTCATTTGAAAGACCCACTATTAAGATTCAACTGTTAAAACAGAAATACTCACCCAGTAATCAAAGGGAATTGTGGAAATGCTGGCATAGCAAAGACTCCATAAGCCCCAGAAGAAGTGTGATGCAAGTGTGAATGCTTGGAGTTCTCTGAGCAATTGATCCATCTCTTCTCTAGTTACAGCTTGCAAGCTCTGTTTCCCCTGCACTGCCTGTATGTAGCTCTCCAAGAAGTGTTCCTGGTGAATATATAGGCACTTAAATGTACATGTAAATGGTACCCTACAATGAACTTCAAAGGAAGAACAATGAAAGAGACTGAACTGAAGTTCTGCATTGTTTATATGGAAGTGAAGCCTAGACTTTAAAGAAATGGTATCTAAAGGCAGTACTAGCTTCTGATATGAAGCTTTTAAGAAGAGTTACTGGCTGTCTGTCAGGAATGAATAAATTTATAGAAAATATATCAGACAAAAGGAAATGAATTAAACACCTGTATGTAATGAAAAATACATGAAATCCAAACAAGCCTTTTCAGTATAGACAAAGAGGGAGAAATGATCTCGGACAACAGCAAGAATGATAGGCTTACTGAAGCCAGAAACCAGGTCATTGGCCTAATCGCTGAAGAACAAGGAGGAAGAAGCGAAAGAAGAAGAACTGAGGCCTCTACACTTTATATACACTATTGCTGACAGTATGTTGCAGAGTTTCTAAACTTCCAGACCATCTACACAAACTTAATGTCATTTATTAAAAAAAATCAAAAAGAAGTTTTAAAATATTGTATATTTTGTACCTGATATGACATACTAGATGTGCATTAATAAGAATATATCAAAAAGTTTCTTACTTAATTAAGCACTATGCCATGAAGACATATGGGGGAATGGAGGTATAGCTCCACCATTCTAGATGTAAGCATTAGATGGAGTCTAGTGGTCAGCTTCACGCCCCGGCCGCTTTAACCCATGGGAAATTGCCACAGGTACCCATTGGATAAGAGGCTGGGTGGGCCCCAGAGCTGGTCTGTACACAGCAGAGAAGAAAGAAATCTTTCCATGCCAGGAATCACATGCAGACCATCCAGCACATATCTTGTCACTATACTGACTGAGCTATCCCGACTTCTAAGAATATGTCAATAACAGAATTAAGGGCTTTTAAAAGAAAAAAAAATATATCACCTATCTTCTGGAATGTAATGCCATATAGACTGGCAGAAGTTCACCGATGTTTTGAAGTAACATACTGACTCCATGTTCTGAATCAAAAAGTACCCGAGCAAGTTTCCGCCAAGAAGTAGGTCATAGTATGTTCCTCAGAGACATCAGAGAACTTCTGTCAGACTATCCTGGAAAGGGTATTTTTCGAGGTCACTGCTCTGAGAACTTTAAATCTAAAGAATGCCCAATCCACTATAAAATAGTTCTTTTGATATTTCTATCATCAGCCTTGTATGAAATGTTATGTTCCATGGTGCTAAAAGAAACAGATATTTGTAACATCGTTCTTAATTAGTTTTCTGAGTGTCAAAACCCAACTTCCATATCCATTCAGAAATGCTGGTACAGTCCTAACTTTGGCTAACTTCATCTGACATGGTAATCGTATTTACATGCAATATTGCAGTAGAGGTAGGTGAAGTGTCTTACTTTTTCTGAAAGCTGTTCATTGATATTTAGACCCTTTCCAACAACAGACAGTATCTTCTTTTCATAAATTAGTACCATATTCTTGTGCCATTTACTGGAATTATAAATTGCTATTATAATCAATGATTATATGCAGTTGTGTTCCTCTTGCAGGACAGTCACGTTGCATACACATACCTGCTGTTTCAGTGATGGATAGTTGTCATGTGATACCCAGAAGTAAGGGGAGTTTTCATTGGTGTAATCATACAGCCATTCACACATGTGGTTGGCAATGTCAAAGCCCCGGTAGTTATATGAGCAGAATTCAAAATCAATGACAACAAGCTCAGGATGTGGGTGTTGAGACATTTGTGCATCCAGCCTGAGTAAAATGTTTCCCTCTTGCAAGTCATTGTGGCAGAACACCACTGGAGAATTTATGCTCGTGAGGAACTCCCTGTGAAACAGAACTCGCTTGTAAACTTGTTGACTCATGCGTACCAAGTATGCCTCAGGTCTTTGCAACTGAATCATGGGCTAGAAGTTTGTTCATAATGACACTATACAAATTACAAAATAATTCCTTATCAATTTGAATGAAGTGTATTTTCATAACCCTACATGGTGATTTCTATTATGAAGTTAGCCAAAAATGTAAAGAAATTACTATGTTAGAGTCAAATTTAATATCTTTCAAAGAGACATTTCAAGAACTTTAAGTCAAAGCCAAAATTCAAGGATTCTGTCTTCTGGAATGTGTATTTGTTGAAAGTCAGCTGGTGTTTTGGGAGAACATGTCATGTGCAATATGTTGGTTGACTTTCAGTGGACTATATTGCATTATATGCCAGAAGAGAGGCCTGTGAGAACCACAATAAAATTCCTAGCACACTCAAAGATATGAGTATAATGTTTGTCCAACGGATTATGTCTTCCTATTTTGTAAAACTTATTTTCTCTGTTTGTTAAAAAAATTACTACAACATTGATAACAAAATCAGCAAGCATTGTGTTAAAGTTTTACTTTGTACAAACGAGACTTGGAATGGTGATTATGAAAAGAGAAAGTATGAACAAAGATTCTGCCTCTGCAAACGACTAAATATTGTATGACTATAACTTCATGTTAAATCTTGGACTGATAAAAAAATTATTTAACCGAGATTAATTCTACAGTTCAGCATTAAAAGCAAACATTTTGATTTATATTGCCACATGTTAGTGATTAGATGCAGGGTGTGGACTGATAATTGGATTTAATGAATGCTTATAACTCGTAACACCCATAAGTACAAATAACACCTTCACTAGTCTACACACTCTACAAATCACGACTGCTGCAGCACACATAAAGCCTTCTGTCTGTTCAATAAACTTATTCAAGCAGGAGGCGAAATATTACGTTCTAAGATCCATAAGGTAATTAATTCTGTTTGGAATAAGGAAAAATTGCCTAATCAGTGGAAGGAGTCGATTATTGTACCAGTGCACAAGAAGGGTGATAAAACTGGCTGTAGTAATTATCAAGGGATATCACTGCTAGCAACTTCATACAAAATTTTATCCAATATTCTTCTCTCAAGGTTAAGTCCATACACAGATGAAATTATTAGGGATCATCAGTGTGGGTTTTGACATAACAGATCAACTACTGATCAGATCTTTTGCCTATGTCAGATAATGGAGAAAAAATGGGAGTACAGTGAGACAGTACATCAGCTATTCATAGACTTCAAGAAAGCCTATGATTCAGTTTGGAGGGACATATTGTACAATATTCTGATAGAGTTTGGGGTACTCATGAAACTAGTTAGGCTGATTAAAATGTGTTTAAATGAAATGTATAGTAAAGTCCGTATAGGTCTCATAATTTTTTTATCCAGAATGGTCTAAAGCAAGGAGATGCTTTATCGCCACTCCTTTTCACCTTTACTTTAGAATATGCCATTAGGAAGGTCCAGGGAAACCAGGCTGAACTGACAACTAGAGAAGACTATAAAAGACTGAGGCTTAATGATTTGTAAAGTGTGTAGATCAGTGATAGCACTGTAATTACTTGTACATATGAGTCAGGTGTATAAGTGGTCAATGAATTCATCAATCCACACCCCATCTCTAGTCACATGTACTACATGACAATATCAATTCCTATGGTGATACATTTCTTCATGTCAGGGTATTTTGTACTTCAGTGTTGCATTTTACATTAACTCATCAACTTCTCCAGTTTGTCCCTGCATCAGTATGTGTAATAGCATACCATTAACATTAAGTCTGTATTAAGCAGCCTCCGTAGTCTAGGGGTAACGTTCCCACCTCATGACTCAAGGTACGTGGGTTCAAACCCGGCGGAGGTCGTGGAATTTTTAAGGGCGGAAAAATTCAGGGAACAAGTCCTCCGGGAGGGACTTTAAGCTGTGGGTCCTGTGTCGTAGATTTACGGCACGTAAAAGATCCTCATGTCTCTAGGAGACCTCAGCAAAATTAGGCAAAATGTTTCCCGCCCAAGTAGTTTCCAATGCCTCCGGTAGATGGGGAAGTTATTGGGTACCATTGCCAGTAGAGGTCTGACCTCGCTGGCAGAAAGGGGAGAGTTATCGGGTACCACTGCCAGTAGAGGGCCAACCTCGCTGGCAGAAAGGGGAGATAGCGGGCACCAGTATTGGTAGGATATGGAGACAGTAGAAATTAAAGGGGGACGTACAATAGACTATTAGTCACGGTGCATGGGGGAACCCACGCCCTCTATACTGAATAACTGAATAACTGAGAAGTCTGTATTAAAAAAAAATTCTAATCATCTACTTTTGCCTTATGACAGATGTATAATGCACATAACTCACTTCAACCAGTCAAGTTCAAGCCTGAGACTGTAACTCATGAGTTTTTCAGTCCTTGCTTTTGCCACAAGGTTTTCATACTTTAAGCTCATAAACTCTTGGATGCTGTCCAGCCACCTGAAACACAGATTCCTCTGTTTGATTTATTCATAATATTACAATGATTTATACTCATTAAACCACTTTTACTGTTATTGAAGAAACATACATCAGCTAGCTGTGTGTTAATCAATATTTTCTAGACTGAATAGAAGTTCAGCATGAAAGCAACAAATAAGTATAAATAAAAGAAGTTAATATTGACAGTGTACTTAATAAAGCACCACGATATAAAGACGTATGAGGGCTCAAGATATAGCTCCACATAGTCATAACCTTGGTGCTAGGTAAGACTGAGTGTTCAGCTTAATGCATTAGCTGTTTCATCACTGGAGAGAGCCTGTAATACATGATAAATAGGAGACTGAAATAGCCTAGAACAGGCATATCCAGTGCGTCGGTCGCGGGATGATTTTTGCTCGATCTCATAGGCCTATAAGGAAATTATACGTGAAAAGCATGTAAATTCAGTTGTAATATAATATGATTATGTTCAGATTTTGAAGGGAAAATACGTATTAGTCATTCCTATTTTTCTGTTCTTATGTAGCTTATGTGAGAATTGCTTTACACTTGTGTTAAGTGAACTGTGGGGAAGTCCCTAATCTATCCTTATCACGTGAACTCTTATTTCATCACTTGTCATATCAGCTGCGTGTGTTCTGATGCACGAGTGATCGACAGAACGTGTGATTCACTTCGTTTTCTCCCTCCAGTCAATTGTGAATCCCCATACGTTGAACTAACAAGTGAGACGTATTATTATATTAGCTGTTAGTGGAGATTTGTTGCTTTGCTGTGCATTAAACAAATATAGACTTTGGGGATGAGCTCAGTGTAATCAAAGGGACAGTGAATGCTCTGCCTGCGTTATTTTATTAATTTCGAAAACGTCTGTGTGTGTGCGTCAGATAAGACAGTTACCTCAGTATAGCGGAAAATGCAACGCCTCAGTATCCTTGCCACAAATGAGTAATCTGGAACGTCATTATAATGCTCTCCATAGCAATAAGTATGATGCTGATTTTCCACCCAAAAATGAAATTCGTAAACTTAAGCTCAAAGAACTTAAATTGAAATTAGCTGCTCAACAACAGTTGATGGCAAAACCAAGGTCACTTTCTAACAATGCAGCCAAATCATCCTTCAAGGTCAGCAGTCTGGTCATTAAAAATGCAAACCTTGCATTGAAGGGGAATTTGTAAAAGAGTGTTTTCTTGAAATAGCTGATAATCTTTTTGAAGGATTTAAAAATAAGAAAGAGATCATAGCTACTATTCAAGATCTTCAGTTATCAAGAAACACCATTTTGCAGCGAATAGAAATGATGTGTGGAAACATAACTGAACAGTTGTTGAAAGATGTTTCCAATTGTGTTGCTTTTACAACAAACATCATGTGTTGTGTATTTTTACAAATATGTTTGCTTAAAGCGAGGTATGACGATAGGAGGGGGTGGTAGATCACTGGCAGTTTTGGCTCTAAAAAGTCGATCACAACCTGTTTGAAGTTGGACATGCCTGGCCTAGAACAGTCCTGGTCATTGTGGAAAAGAGAAAAATTTCTCTAATCCATAATGGGATTCAAATCCTGGTCACTCGGTTGTCCAGCCTGTATGCCAGTGACTATACTAACTGAGCTAAGTATACATATATATAAATATATATGGAGCAAGGATGACTGAGAAGGTACAGAAATGTTCTGGATGCTTTGGATCAATTCCTGGCAGGGGAAAAAGATTTTTCTGTGCTACACAGTGTCCAGACTGGCTCTGGGATTCACCCAGCCTTCTAGGCAAGGGCATGAAGCTGACCACTTTCCTCAATCTAGTGCTGAGATCAAGAATAGTGGAGTTATACCTCCACTCCCCCATATGTCTTCATGGCTTGGTGCTTAATTAATTAAGCACAGAGGCAACTTTACCTTATTTCTTTTTATATATATATACACATTTTTTTACCTTTCCAAACACAAATTTAAGGAATCTGTTAGTTACATTTCACTTTTCACTGTGGAATTCTTCAGATGCAAATTTAAATTATGCAGCCAAATGTATGTTCCATCATTGCATGCTACACACTCCCTATTTTAATAGATGAGAGGAGAATATGGTAGCAAAGCATTGGCTGCAGGTATTTTAATTTAACAATTTATTATTATTGTTGTTGTTATTATTAT